AAAAACTATTCTCGTTGTTTTATCAAAATAACATAAACATTTTCATACTAAGTTCTTACGTTGCAATCATATATACCTTATGATGTTTATAAAAAAGTGAAAATGCTTCATGGTATTGACACATTTTACCAAAATCATTAGATCTTGTTTGAGTTTTTGGTTTAATCAAAGCAAAATAAACATGACATAATTCTAAATGTTGAATAAAGAAAAAAATGAATTATTTTTCCGTTATTGATTTCGATGGATAACCTAAATGTTGTAATTTCCATAATAATATAATTTTCTTTTTTTTTTGTCTTTTGTATGACCGTACCAGGCTTCGAGTTCAACAATTGATGTTTGTATATTAGCTAAATGTTTTTCAAGATCATCAAGTTTAAATAATATCTTCATAATCTATTTCAATTTTTTCTATATCATTTTTACAAAAACTTTACATATGTATGACATACATATGCAATTATTTCAATTGATTGTTTGAAATAATCAAAAGAAATTATTTCTGGATCAAGTTTTTTATTTAATTCAATAAGTTTATTTTTACTATTAATAATAAGCAATTGAACAGCAGATATTAGAGCAGAAAAAAGAATATTATAATGTGTTATTGTGAAAAATCCACAAACCATTATCTTCATTTGACATTGTTTTTTTTCAATTGATTTACAGTTTTAGTTCAAATTTCATCAAGATACGTTTTCGCCTAATGATAAGTAACGTTTTTTCCCCCCTGAAGCATTCAACAAAAAAAGAACAATCATACATTAGCATTTGATCAATCGTTCGAACATCCATTGTTAAATTAGCACATGATTCAGTTATTTTAGCATTAAAGAAAGAAACCGAATTACTGTATGTTAAATAAGAGAATTCGATTTTTACATATTTCAATGATAATTATATTATGCTGTATTTGTTTTGTTAATTACAGTATTTTCTTCTTTACATTTGTCAACAATTTGAGAATATAAACTAAAATAATTTAAAAGAAATAATAGATTTATCGGAATTCCTTTTTTTTTGATAAATAAAACACATTCCTAACATACAGTATAAAATTTAAGAAAAACCAATTTTAGTCTTTTGTTTTCATAGTTCTAATCATACAAATGAGACATTGTCGTCCATTCGTTCATATTACGCGATCGAAAATCGATCGTCTGACTAATAGAAGAAAGATAATTTCAAAAAGATTTTATATAAGAAAAAACAAGTGAAAGAAGAAAAACGAATAAAATAATCTTACTGAAGTAAAAGTTTCAATTGCTACATGGAATTTTTTAGATGTGATCATTTTGAAACTGAAAAGAAAAAAAAGAAAATTGATGAAATAAGAAAAGCAAAAAATTATACATCGCTCTTGAGATGTATCATAAGCTTGTTTAATTCAAATTTGATCATTTAATTTTTAATTGAATATTTCTAATTCTTTAGTTAAAAAAAAATGATTCTAAAATAGAGTCAACAATAAAAGACTGAACTTGTTTCTAATTCATTTACACATGAATTGAGCCATTTTAACATATTGTCGACAAGTTCATCTTTGCGAAGTAATGTTGATGACTGAAACAAACAATTTAAATGGACAAGAGCAAATAGTTGAGTTAGTGGTTGAGCTGATCATTGGTGAGTCAATAGTCTACGACCGCATTTGCATGAGTCATCAAATCAATGTCCAATGAAAAATTCAATGATGTATTTAAGATGAAACTCATTTTGAAAAGTTCATGTTTTGTCGCATATGAAGTAGATATCTTTATTAGGGACTACTTATGATGTTAAATTCTTCTGATAAAATATAATCGTGAAAATGAGCTAAAATCAAGGAGTTGATGTAACGACATCTTTCATTTGTATTGTTTTTCAAGCAAAATCGGATGCACTATTATGAAATCGCGACTATAGTGTAGCGTTATTATTTGCATGAAACTCATCTATCGCAAACATAAAATAACTGGTGCAGCAGAATAAATTGCCGCCTTTTTATATTTTATTTTTTCATCGTATAGGGCGTTTTATTAAAAAGCAAAATATACCACAAGATGCAGCGTGAAAAGTTCTACAATTTACACAAGGTCACTTATTTTATAGTTGCAATTTTTGTTTTTAAAATGAATAAAGTTTTGAATGATCAAATATCGACACTCCTCAAACATCACTTTTTTCCATGGGAGGAAGGCACAATTTTTTTTCTTATTTCGTCTCTTTATCAACTTATTATGTTTTCGGAAAAAAACAAAATGTACCATCAGATGCAGTGTTAAAAACTCTACAATCTACAATGTAAAATTTAGTTTAATTATGTTGTTTTCGTTTTCAGAAAAAAAGCAAAATTCTGTGCGACCAATATTGGACACTGCGAAAAAATCATCCTTTCGACGCGGATGAGAAATTCCTTTCTTTTGTTATTTAAAAAAATTCTTCTTGGTAAATTGTAAAGCTTTTCATGCTGCATCTTATGATGTATTTTGCTTTTTTTACGAAAATATATTAGTTGATAAGAAGACGAAATAAGGAAAAATTGTTTCCTGTGTCTATGGAAAAAAATGATCTCTGAGCAGGATCGAAAATTGATCACACAGAATTTTGCTCTGTTTGAAAACAAAAAGAACACAATTAAATTAGCTTTTACTTTGTAGATTATAGAGTTTTTCACACTGCATCTTATGGTATATTTTGCTTTTTTTTTATTAGAAACTTTAAGTGATAAAAAAGATGAGATAACATGAGATGAGAAAAAATGATTTTTGAGCAGTGTCGATATTTGATCACTCAAAACTTTATTCATTTTAAAAACAAAAATTGCAACTATAAAATAATTGATCTTGTGTAAATTGTAGAGTTTTTCACGCTGCATCTTGTGGTATATTTTGCTTTTTAATAAAACGCCCTATATGATGAAAAAATAAAATACAAAAGACGGCAATTCATTCTGCCGCACCCGTTATATAGATGTTGAATATAACTTCTGCTTTCATACATTTTTTCCGCACTTTTATTGTGACTATTCCCTCCGAACTAGGTTTCGCCTTTCGTAGTGCGTTCGACATTGATTAGCACTTCTTCCACTACTTTATATCATCAGATCATGCACTAAAACAGAACATGTCGTTGGACATGTATGTGTGCTGGTGTGGCGTCGATGTTCGTGTGGCCTGTTGGTGTGGGCGTGGGTAGGTTTCGGTGGCGGGCGTTGTTCTACGGTGTGGATCCAGAGAAGACCCACGCCCACACACTACATCCACCCATACCCACATCCATCCACACCCACACCTACCCAAAATTTTTGGCCTGGCCTGCAGACCAGGCCAAGCTAAAACTCTTAGCCTGGATATGATTTAATACTAACATTTGCAGTAATCAATTTTAAGAATTAGATGACTTTACGAGTCGATGATAATTGCTTTTGATATTTTCTGTTGATCGTCTATTCGAATCAATGTTTTTATCCGTTTTATTAGATCTTTTGACTGTGTTTATTGGTATTAATATTTCATTTCTCGGCCACTCAGAATTTTTCAATCTCTTTTTGAATTTTCTCATTTAGTGATACGCAGCTATAATTATTTCTAGGACTTTTTGTGCCAAAACTATTTAAAATGTTTCTTACTGATTCAAACTTGTACCAAGGAAGATCGCCCTATTCAGTTAAAGAGTCTCATGATTCCAAGAGCTAGTCTAAACTAGAATCGAATTTAGAGTCTCGTTTTATGAAAATGATGGAGAATCAAGTTTTGCCCACTTATATAATTATCGTGTGAATAAAAGTCGTCAAAGCTTAAAATTAGTAGAAGGTTTTAAGCTAATTTTGAGGAGTTCTCATTCATATGTATTGGAGATTGAAGATGTTTTATATATCAGTAAGTACTTATGATAATCGATACTTTACATATCTACGCAGTTATAACTTTATTCCAAAAGAATTCAAATATCTCCACATCAATTCCTAAATTTCAGCATCCACTTGATTGGCTACATGTTTGCAAGTATTTCATTTTAGAACTCAGGCCCATATGCAAGTGTCAAAGATTATCATAAACTTGATCTTAATATTGATTCATGAATGCTCTTAGTTGAGAATTGGCATAGTACATTCTATTACTCTCATGATAACAAGTCGGATGATTAATTGAAACGTATACAATGAATTAATGCTAATTTGGAAATTTCATAATTATAAAAAGTTTGAAACATTAGTTCGCCTGGTTTGGCCTACAGGCCAAGCTGAAAAAAGTTGACCTGTTGGCAGGTCTGGTACACGTACACTTAAAGTTCTTCATGACGATGAACAAAACTTTGTCCGATTATGTTAGGTAAAAGGATTTCAAAATAATACCACATGCACCTAATTTGCCAGGTCTGGCCTCATGTGATTTTTGGTTATTGGATTTTATCAAACAAAATATAGGCGATCAAAATGTTACTGAATCATTATGTGATGCCATGACCATGTTCATAAGGTTTCTGGATAAAGAAGAGTATAGAAAAATATTCGATAAATGGATTCATCGAATGCATTTGATGAAATGAAAACTCGTTGAACTGATTTCTATATTTTTTTTTCTATCGCTATGTATAGATGGTTGTGCATTAAAATAGATAAGAAAAAAGAATAAAGAAAAGATGGGAACATTTTTAATATGATATGAGATGAATAATGGTCATATAGCACAGAATGATAGAGCTTCTTTTTCTCTGTCACTATGTATAAAAGGAAAATTATTAAAGCCTTCTATAAGAGTTTGCTCGGGCTCCGCCACTAGTTATAATATGCTCTTAGTACTTCCATGTGAATGTACACTTTTATGATGGTTGCTAAAAGTCGAAAGAGTTTTCATATTTATTTTATAACTTTCTTTATGAATTCGCACAATAAATCTTTTAAAGTTTTTCAAAAGCAAATGATAAGAAAAAAGTTAATCAATATTTATTAGGTCATTTTGATAAGAAATAAAAGATGCGCGAATATGAAATATCAGAGGTTTGAAATAATTCACTTATGATTTTGTCGGTGGTGAAATAAATCTGCCACTAAATAAGACAATAATTTGTCGACTTTCACGAATGAAGAATAGAAATGGACGATCAGCTTTAAATTCTATAGGCTGTGGTGGCGGATTGATTGATCCATAACTAACGATGATAACAGCTGTAGCTGCTGCTGCTTCTGATCCTAAATGAAATAATAAACAAGATAAAAGAAAATCTGTTAATTGCTAAACATGTCTTCTAACGGATATCAAAGATTTAGTGCAAACATATTTCATCTTTCTATTTTAATATATCCAAAACATGTACTTTATTACCACGGCAGATTTTTTTGCTTAAGTTCTGAGTGAATTTTACATACACAAATATTGAAGCATATATTAACACGATAAACTTGTAGATCTAAGAAACTTCCCAGTTAATAGCGTGAGATTTATTTTTAATTTTTCGAATAGAAAACAAAACCAGATGGTCATTATGAAATCCAATGAATTCGATTTTTGATGCTTTCCGATGTCTTTTTGTGAGCTCTACAGAAGACAGCTATTGTTTTTGGTTCTTTGCTGAATAGAATAAAAGCTAAAAAATATTCCTTTTTTAAGATGTCATTCGAATCACAGATAAGGAAACAAAACTCTGAATAGGATGGGACAATCCTATCCCATTCCATGTCTTTCGATAGAATTGTTGTCTTTTAGTCTCATGAAACAAATCAAGGTTTTTTTCTGTTGAAATGTGTTTCAACAAGGTACCTTGTAGAAGTTCTAAGTAGTAGAATTCATTATAACCACACTGATGATCTTATTCTTCAACATAAATAGTTTCATTACTGATTTTTTATGCTATTTTTCGTGAAAAAATTTTAAATCTTGTTTTTAGAAGTTTAAGCAATGAAATCTAAAATTATTTTAATGGAATTCTATGTGGTTCACACTAGTTTTTCTTTTTTTTGACGCACTTCTCTATAACTATTGATTAAGTAGATAAAAAGGTTCACCAAGACCCTAATACATTAGATTCGTAATTGCATTCTTGACAAAAGCAGTAGGATATAACATTCGATGCAAAAGTCTTTGCTTCTAAACTAATTAAGTTTTTTTTTGTTAGAAAGAGCAATGTCTCAACTACAAGTTTTGTAGCAGACACATTTTTCTACAACGAATCTCAGAAGGAGAAAAAGCCGAAAAGTAAACACCTCTAAACATGTTCTATGGAATTTAACCGTTGTACAATATTATGTTCTATTTTCTGTTATTTTCTTTTTATCAGAAATGAAATTAAAAAACACGTTTAATAATGTTTTTATAGCACAAAGAATGCTCTTTCAAATGATATGTTCGAAGTTAAATTTACTCTTGGTTTTTATACTAAAATATAGCTTTTTCTCAAAGAGATTGTATAATTTGGTCGTTCTTAGTACTTTACTGTTTTGCAGCAATAAAAAATTCTTTTTGAATTGTTTTTTTTCTGTTGAGTTTCTATGATCTGATATATTTCGAAAAAATAACACACGAAGAATTCACTTCATCGATGATTTCTAGAGATTGTGGCTAATGTCCTTCCCAACTGATAGTCCTTGCAAAACAGTCTATTTTACACAAAAATTTCGATTCAAAGGGCAAGAACGGATCTAAAAAAAATTTCCCAAAGCTGATATCCATAGGTGCTTTTGACGTACTACATTTTGGTATATTTTTTGTTGGAGTTTGGTCCATGTGGCTCCAAACAATTTGAGAATTAGAAACTTTTACAGTTGCGGAAACGTTACAAGACACTTTTTTGTTAGAGATGTTTGGTATTCGTTCTAAAAAACCATGTCTGCTACAAAATTTATAGTTGAAAAATTGGTCTTTCCAACAAAAAAGTTGGCAATATGGTTCAATAGAATTTGACATTTTTGCACAAATCTTTGCATCGCATATGATGTGATTAGTATAAACAAATAAAGGTCAAATAACGTGATCTAAATATGAACTGTTAAAGGAAAACGAAGATAACTGAATAAGCAAGTTTTATAAGCCGATTCAAGGCTTAAAAAAGATTCTTTTTTATTGGATGCATTGTCCAATGGGAAAAACTAGTTTGTTCCATGGGATGATTTTTTTTATCTCATTCCATTCCATTTAGAATTCTGTAAAAACAATTTTATAATACCATATTTTACTGTTTTTCCCTATGAAAAACAAAAATGATCAATAACATATTTTTCTCGTCCTATCATTACTCTTTTTTGTCTTCAGAAATTTTACAATTAAGATGCTTTGCTTTTATCAAACAGACTAGTTTTCCAAAGAAAACAAACTAACCTTGTTCGTTTACATCAATAAACGCTTTGTGAATAACCTAAAATATTACACTGATTAATATTTTCTTCTTAATAGATTATTTACCTTGCTAATGTATAAATGATCTCTATTATTATTTCCACTAGCGATACCTGTAAAATTTGGTTTATAATTACTAAATGCATCTTTCATTCCAAGTTGTTGAAGAATATCACTTAATTCAAATGTAGCTTCCATTTTAAATTTTGGTAAATATAAATGAAGTTCTTCTGTTCTTGTATTTTGATGATTTAATAAATTTTGCATTAAATCAGGTTGTGATGCTAATTTTTGTTCCACAACATCTAATTCAACTCCTCGATTAGGTAAAATCACCGTAAAAACAAATTCAACATCTTTATTTTCACTTTTATATGGTACATGAACAATTTGTACATGTAAATCGTTATTCTCAGCATAAGCAAATTTCTCTCGTTGATGCATTAATGCGATTTTAGAAATTTTATCATTCGCTTCATGAAAATCAGCATTTTCATTTGTTAAATTTTTGCTAAATTCTTTTATCCATGTACCCTATGATTCAATTAATAAACGCAAATTATTGTTCTTTCATTAAAATTAATATTTGCCTTAAAATAAATACTATTAATAATTATTAGTCTTCTTTCAGGTGTCACATCTTTTATTGACAGTAAAGCTTGAATTAAATTATTTGTTTGTTGTTCAACCCATGCATTGATTCTTTGAACAGCTTGAACACGTTCATTTTCAAAATCTTCTAGTTTAATATCGGCTTTAAATGAATTTTGAACAATTTTTAAATATTCTTCTTGAAGTTGATATGCTTTTTGTGCATAAAGACGATTAGCTAATTTAAGTTGAACTTGTTTATCTTGATTAGCAATAGAAAAGATATTCATAATTCGTTCAGCTGTTTTGATTAATTATTTTATTGATGATGCTTCAAATGTTTTTAACATTTGATTTAATGTTTCTTGTCGAGCACCAACTGCACACATTGACATCGCAAGAGAAATACTTGCTGGTGAAAGAAATATATTGTCATTCTTCTTATTTTGACTAGCAGTTGAATAAAGTTTGAGACCAAATTGTTCGAAGTTTGTAGCTGTTGATGATGATAAAGCCACAAGAAAGAGAAGTAAATGGATTACTATCATCAAAAGCATATCGTCTTGAATAAAAATATTTATTTTGTGGAAGAATTTTTTTTGGTTTTTGATAGATATTATCCTAATGTTTCATTTTATTCTCAAAAAAAAAAGGATAAAAATTGTCAATAGAAGTACAAAGAATGATTCCTTGAATGTCAAGACTCTCATTGATTCTATATTTCAAGAATTATCCATTTCTTCTTTGTTAAGAATTTTCATCGCTATTTTAAGCATAAAAAACATTAAAATAATTGCTGTTAAAAACTGTAGCTCTGCTATTAGTATCCTTATGACAACGAATATATTCTTCAGAAGAGTATGAAACTACAGAACCATCCTAAATTCTTCAATCCCTGATTTTCCTATAGACTTATTCTAGGGCGAGACATTTATTATTCATGAAAGTACATGTTACTATTGCTGATATAGATTTATGTACTTCGTAGAGTATAAAAAGTGAAGTCTACTTTACATGATATTTTTATTGTAGAAGAGTCATTTGTATTAGCGTTCTGCATCGGATTAGGTTAGTAAACCCGACAATTCCTTGTTTATATACTACAGTTTGGACGGCTCCTCTCTACTATCAATCCAGTATGTATGATCAACACACGCATCGAACTAACTAAAAAGGATGAACATCGAAGCTGATCTTCTTGATAGGGAACTTGTTGAGTTTACCTACTCGATCTGATGCAGAGCTCTAATTCGTATGAATTATCAGGACAACCAATCAATGGCCTAATCGTACAAATCTCTCTTTACTATTTTCCATTTTCTTAATGATTTCCTGTTAGATCTAGAGGGATAGAAGTTCGGCAAATGACTGAATGGTGGATCATTACTTTCTTGAAAGAAAAATATGTGTCGATAGAAAAAAGGGCGGACGAATTATATGAAGTGAATAAATGATTATCGCACTTTGTCTCACAAGGGATCCTCTCCAGCTGCTAAGAAGCTTTTGAGTTCAAGTTTCACTCACAAGTAGATATTGCATAGGCTACAAAAAAATATAAAAGTTTATGGGTCCAAATTGCGATTTGACTGAGATAAAAACTTTCTACTATAATTTTCACAATAAGACACCATTTTTCCAATAGAATCAAAGTTGCGCATGTAGATCTGCAACTTTGTCTACATCAAACATAGATCAGACTAGCTTACGCTCAAAGTTTCAGAACTTCTGGACAAATTACCTTCGAGATATGGATTTCCCAAAATATGCATGCACAACATTAACTCAAGCTAGTCTGATCTATGGTTGGTGTAGACAAAGTTGCAGATCTACATTCGAAACTTTGATTTTATTGGAAAAGTGGTGTTTTGTTGTGAAAATTATAGTAGAAAGTCTTTATCTCAGTCAAATCGCAATTTGGACCCATAACCTTTTATATTTTTTTTGTAGCCTATGCCATATCTACCTGTAGGCAAAATTTGAGCTCAAAAGCATTTTAGCATCTGGAGAAGTTCCCCTGTGAGATAAAGTTGTGAAGAGAAAGAAACAAAAAGCATCTATGCTATTGATCATGACCATCACTAACAGGAATGAATAAATATAATAACTTGTGAAGAAGTAGTCGCTGTGTATATTCTATATTAGACTACAAGATGAAACAATATTTTGTCGGATGAAGTCATCCAAAGCTCATAATTAAAGTTGGAATTTGTTTAATGATATCTTCTAAGTTCAGAAAGTTACATGGTACATAAACTATAGACATGAATTTAGTTTTCTAAAAGGCATGATACTTGAAAATCTTCTGCATTAATTCTCTGACAGCATATTGAGCCTTCTGATGCGTGTGAGTGAAGGTGTGAGAATGAGGAAAAGACACCCACACCCTACGCTAGTTGGACTTTTTTTTCATGTATTTGACACGCACAGATTTCAAGATGTGTCCATATCACATAATTTTCTTGTTTGAGATACTCATGAACTTTATGATCATGGCAGAGGAAATTCGATTAGGGTAGAAACTCCATAAATATTTTTGAAAGATGCACATAAGTTCAAATATTTAGTTTTGAAATCAATATTTTTCTCAAAATATTAACCGAATATGATTTCGTATAAGTGACTTATTTTTATTCAGAATATTTTTTTAAATCAGTACTTGCTTCTGAATTAAACAAAATTTCTTTCATTATCAGTTATATATATAATAAGTTTACAAGCTTATACATTCGGATACATATCGAGCAGAATGATGAAAACGAACTAACGAAGAAAAAGTCACTCGGAGAGAGGGAAATAGAAAGAACGAAAGATCCTTATCATTTATAGTCGAACATCTATTTTTAAAAATTTTTGCTGAAGACTTGGCAGTGCATCTTCAAAAATCTGATAAGTTTCGCTTAACTTTTAATGATTCGACACGAGATCGAAAATTTAATTAGATTTAAAATATTTATCTACTCTGAACATTTACAAAAATTTCATAAGAGCATCGCAATAACTTTCCTGCTAAAGACTAGATTCATTTTTTTTCATTATTTAGTATTTAGTATTACGGAAGGCAAAGAAAAACAAATTACGTCACAAACTAAAGACGAATAGAAATAGGAGAAAGAAAAAGAAAACGTGACTTATGTTTTTTTGTTTATCAAAAATACTTCAGATATTTTATTATTTTGCATGAGACAGAAATAAATCAAAACATGAAACTTGAAGATTTAGCTAATGAAATCTTACTTGATTTATTTGAATTATTGGATGATATTCAACTTCTTCATGCTTTTAATGGTCTCAATTCTAGTTTTCAAGCATATCATCTTGATTTTCGATCTATATCAAAACATAATTTCAGTATTGTTTGTCAACAATATCTTCCAACTATTATCGATCAAGTCATTGCACTTCATCTATCCAATAACAATGAAACACCAAATCTACTTCAGCTTTTTCTTTCCTATGGTTTTACTCTGAATCGATTTAATCATTTGCAAATGCTTTCGTTGTATCATATGGATTTTCTTAGTTTATTAAATGAAATATTACTTCAATGTCGTCACCTTTCATATTTCACACATCTAAATTTAATCAACTGTAATTTTGACCAAAAAGAAACAGAAATTCTCTATTTAATTAATAATATTTGGAGTTTATCAACACTTACTCCTTGCAACTTAGATAATATTTTTGTTAGTAAACTGTTATTTGCTAGTATGTCAATAATCTCACAGTCAATCAAATACTTATCCATGAAAAATATTTATTGCCCTTTGAGTATTTTATTTAATTTGTTTCAATGTACACCTTCCTTACGATGTATTCATGTAAATGATGTAATCGGTTACCAAAATGAACAGCTACAACCTACTGTTTCATCGTTGTCTTCAATGAATATTTCAGTTTCAGGTTCAATCTATTCTATGGAGAATCTTTTTCGAACCGTGCCTGATGTATATTATTTAACAATACACACATCAAGTATTTTTTTGAGTGGATATGAATGACAAAAGCCTATGGTCAGTCATTTACCTAAGATCAAGGTATTTTGTCTAAAAATGGAAGGATGGATGTGGGTGTCGATATGGACCTTTTCATTCAGATCAATACCCACATCCTCCGTAGTCGACAAAACGCATTCAATAATATGCCATATATAGTCACTAGATTTTAAAATAGTCTATGTACGTATCATTTGGATTTTATTTATATTAGACCATGTTCAAATAGAAATATTGGTTTTTCTGATAAGAATTAGATGCAAATTAAAACAGCTTTTATTGTAAAGGTTTCTTTAGCAATGCAGATATTTTTGAAGCATAAGTTCGAATGAGCTAGCTGAATGCTTTTCTTTTTTTTTCTTCGTTCTATGATTGAGGAATAAGAAGGAGCATCGAAGTGTTTAAATATATGCTTAAATTGAAAAAAGCCTACCATGAAAACTTTTAGTGTTTGGATAAGATTACAGGAAAATTTTGTTCTACTCTTCACACTATAAACTATATTTATTTCCATGGGAAATCAAGTTAATAACTTTTTGAACAATGCTGTTGCCTTTTTAATTTCAATTATCGAATTCTCAGGAAGAGATGCAATGATATGTGTTATCGCAAGTCACTGCTTATTTTTGGAACGATTCTCTAACCACCTAAAAACAAACCGAAATAAATATCGCTGTGTGGACTCCATATGAAATGAATTTCATTAAACAAGTTCGATTTTTTTTTGATTCTTTGTCATCTATCGTCATCGACGCTTGCCGTTAACGCCGTACCGTTGCTATATTCATGCCTTTCACAATTCGAGTGCATGTATGAAAAAAATTAAAAAAACGCAAAAAAAAAGGGCAAAGCGGACAGAAATGGAATATAAAAAGTTGCCATGCTGCAATAGGAAGAAACGAATCATTTGAAAAAAGTAAGCAAACAGTGTAGAACGCAGAAACAACTCTAACTAACAACAAGGTATTCTTCATATTACCAACGACGTTTTGAGTTCAATACTAGACTGTGGTAAGAAAACAATCAGAGAGATTATAGAAGATAAAGACACTGCACTGATTGTTATATATTTAGCACCCTGAAAGTTCGAATATTTCAATCGATTGAGACGGAATAATATTGACCACCATTACCGACTTAACTTGAGCAAATTAGTTTGTCAATCTATGAAAGTTACAACTTCTGTTAATCTTTTTCCATAATTGTCTAAGTTATGTTGATCGTTTCAACATAATGAAGTTGTCTATATTTAATATCATTTGCCGAACTCTTTTGTTATAAGAAACCAAAAATCGATCAAATACAACATAGACTTTCATGAGGCCACAAATAAAAACGGCACGGATACAATTGTAAAACTTGGATGTTCGCAAGGAGAACAGCGGATAAGACTTTCAATCACAACATAATCTGTATCAATGAATACATTCCGTAAGAAAGACGAAAAGATGTTAGTCACAGCAAAATCCGCTGTAGGAAGAGAAAAAAAGCGATGTTTCACTCGTTGATGTCACAGAACTATCACGAGATCCTTTCCTAATCAAGCCAACGTGAAATAGTACAGGCTAATAACTTCGAGCTACAGAGCAATCCGTCAAACGGAAAACACAACAACTTGGTACCAGTCAGCACTTCATTGAAACCTCTATTAGTGAACACCTCCGTATTCTAAGCTTAAACACTATTCCTACAGTTTCGGTTGCTATTGTAAGCTTTGTTAAATAAACACAAAGTTAGTTTGTTTCCCTTTTGTCTTCGTCAATTACAGCTAATGCACCAAAACTACTGTTCATGGTTTGTAATAACTCTGCATATCAGGAAAAGTAACGACATACAGGCATCATCTTGGATTAAAACGATAGTAATTATGTATCGAAAAGGGAATCAGTCGAAAACGTAAATATTTCATTTGGTTCTACATGTAAGATTTTAATGCTAAGAAAAGAATATTAAAATGATTGTCACACAACAATGGCACACAGCAAAGTTTTGTATTCATAAATATATTCTGACACTTTTCATTTAATTGTAAAACATATGATGAGTCCCATGGATGAACACTTTTTAAACGTCCTGACGATGTTCATTTAGGAGAGAATTAACTATAAGTTAAAACTATCCACTAATTACGATCTTCTCGAAAGTTCATCAACACAAATAGATCTTTTCTGTCCTCAATCACGTTTATTTTTACTGCTCAACTTCATTCCTGATGAGTGTGGATGTTAGCTTTTAGCTTATTCTCATTCTACATTCATGATATCGTTGCTATTGTTTTGAGAAACACCTGTAATTTCGGTCATTTTTCTTAACAGCTGTCTGTTAGAGACAATCTTTGTTATATAGACTATTTGATATTTCTGCGAACGTTTGTAAACTAAATTTTTCCCTAACTGTTATTCTAGCTCTGAGAAAACAAACAATAGCTGAAGGATGAGAATACTTTAGGACATTTGTTCAAAATGACCCACTTATCAATAACCATATGATCTGAATACCATACACTGTAGACTATTAGACTATCGCTTGTCCTGAAAAATTTAGTTTTTTGCAACTAATAGAATCAATTTCTTAGGCCGAAAATCAATTTTCTTAAGGTATATAAAGCTTAAAATCATATTCATTCTTCACGGGCATACTTCAAAGTATTCAAATATGTGTTCACCTTCAATTTCGATTTCTGAGAAACATCAATCTATTGAAGAATGATGGAAGAAGGCTTAATATACGTTTCTTCAGGTTTTACTTCTTTCAAGACCCGTTCTTTAATTACCTTCAAAATGATAAAATTCTTGTTATTGTAGATGACATTCATCATCTGATAAGATACGCGTAAAAAAGCCAGCCAGACATAAACAAATTCTTATCAAAATATTTTGATTGCATCATGTGCAGTTTTTGTACTACAGCTTCTTTCAACGTAATTGATGAAATCTATTAATTTGTCTGAAACTCCATAGTCTAATATATTTTAATCTAGACAACTTATTAGTTGATGATTCTTGATTGAACTGTCTGCTCTAACTTCAATGATCATTTTCAACGAAATCACAATAAATGACACTCAAAACACATTAAGAATTTTCTTTAAGGACAACCATAATATAGACATCAGATCTCTAGAACATACCAAACATTTCTGCAGGTGATAATGCGAAGCTATAGGTCCATCAGCTGGCATAATATTAGCATCACAATAATTTACTCTCGTTTAGCTTCAAGTATCATCGATCAACGAATTGTCTATGTTTACATACATCAGACGACATGATTTCATCAAT